TTTTTTTTCTTTCTCTTCTATCTTTCCTTCAAATAAACCAACCAGGAGATGAGTCCAAACTCCAAAGTGAGTGAGTGGTCTTAATCTGTCTGTAAGCTTTTCAGAGATCAAGCTGATTCATGTTTTCTTTCATCACCTTGCTCTCACTCAAATACTTAGTTGCAACTGATCAACAGAATCAGACATGTTGATGTTGTCTGTGAGTTTGAGCTAACAAGATCTCCTCCTCAATGATCCAACAACTAGCTTGAGCCTTGATGGGGGTGAGATCGATCGAACTCCACTCATTGCAAACACAGTTGAAATATGAAAAGAAAGAAAGACGTGTCGCCCAAAACCAATCTCGACTTTGCTTCATGGAGTTTAGATCGCTTCTTCAGTCTTTTCAGTAAAGCCACATTATTAGGAACATTTCTCATCCAAGTTGCCCACCTTTTGTCTCCCTCATATAATTGAATTTTCCTTTTGACGAGTCAATTCAAAATAGAGGAGACAGAGAAGAGACGAGAGTCTCATTTGCATTAACTATCTATGATGTCTATAGAGTCGTATGGAACGTATGTATTACTTGAAAACGTTGGTTGTTCACTTGTTTGGATGGATGGATGATTGATTCCCAAGAAGATAATCCAAGACAAGCAAATTATGTCAAACAGATTCAGTGTTTCTAGAAATGGTTGATGGTGGTCTTTGATGAGTACTAGCTCGCTACAGATGAACTTCAGCTCATCAATCATGAATTTTAATTTTAATAATGCATCGATCAGAAAGAAAAAGTTGTTTTTCTTTGGCTGCAACTGCAAGTGCTCTTTGACTGTTGTTCATCAGTGGGAGTGTGCCTGGAAACTGGATTATAATTTATCAGAATTCAGAAAGCACACTGGCACAGAACCAGAGTACTCCGACACGCTCAAGGTTTTAAATTTGGAAACTTTCTGTCATTTCTGATCTTCGGTTCGTGATGAAGTGATTTTTTGGGGGCTAAATTTTAACTATTTTATTTGCATAAAAATACTATTTATGTAATATTCTTGTAACATTTCAAAATATGTATCTACCCAAATATCATGAAAGTGGTGTCTTCAGAGCAGAAAGCCAGAAACCGAAAATTGAAACCATGGCCCCCTAGGATCAACTACTCATTGGAAATCGCACCATGAAGATTGATTGGACTAAAAGAAAACATATTAAAATACCATACGAAAATCCTTTTCTTTTTTTTCTGCAGATGTTAGGCGCAGTACTGTGGAGAAACTTTCCTTCAGCAGCATTCACTGGAATTTCTGAAAAAAATAATGGTTGAAAATTGTCCCGCTCCATCGGGGAAAAAATTGGATAGTAGAACGGTACATGAAAGAATCCGACCCGAATTTATGTAAAACATATAGAGCTAGCTGTGGCTGCTGCTGGGATTCGAGCCCAGGTCTCCACGGCCACAACGTGGAATTCTAACCACTAAACAACAGCCACCATTTCTGTGGGAGTCACCACGGCCACAATGAGAAATTTATAATTTGTCGTTTTGAAAGCATCGCGAAACAAAGCAAGTAGCAACCCGGTGTAAAGTCACTCGTCCCTAGGGGTGTCCACGGTTCGGTTAATCGAACCATGGTACTTTTTTTTAAATCGAACCGGTACAACTGATTAATCTGTCTGTCGGTTTCGGTTTTCTATATTTATAATATATATTATACAAATATATGTATAATATTATATAATAAATAATAAGTGATATATAATATATTATAAATATTTGAAAAATATATAATATATTTATAAATATAATATAAGTATATACTTATATATATAATGAATATATATTAATATATAATACATAGAAAATATGTGACATATATTAAAAATATATATATACCGGTCGGTTCGGTTAACCGTCGGTTTTTTTGTAGGTTAACCGAAAACCAAACCGGTCCTTCAGTTTTTCAAAAATCCAGAACCGGTCCTTTAGTTTTTCAAAAATCCTAAACCAATCAGTTTGGTTAACCGTATTTTACGGTTCGGTTCGGTTCGCTTTTTTGGTTTTTTATGGACACCCCTACTCGCCCCCCTATGGCTGAAGGGTCAAGTGCCTCCATGTATCTGTACAGAGTTCCACTCCAGGCCTTGAAGTGGACATCTATATTAGGGATGCAAACCGATAGGATCAAATTGGAGTCAAGGTATATTTGAATACGATCCAATATTGTTTATATCGGATTCAATCTGACCCAAAAATCTGATCAGATCTGATAGGACTCGAATTACATTTAAATCATATCAGTAAGTCAGATCTTCGGATCTATTCCGATCTGACTTGTTTTATTTAAAATTAATAAATTATTAAAAAAAATAAAATATACTAATTCAAATTAAGTAAAAACAAAAATACAATTATTTTTTTAATTATTATCATCATATATATACACATGTTTTTTATAAAAAATAATATAACAAATAAATTTACTTAAAATAAATATATTTTTTATATATAATATATAATATATATTTAATATGAATACTATTTAATATATATAATCAGGGTTGGGCTGGATGGGGACCTCATTCTCCATCTTCAACCCCAGTTAAGGATCCCTATTAATCCCCATCCCCACCCCACCAAAGCAATCCCCATCACTGACCCGAAGGGATCAAGGAAGTTAGGTATCCGTTGAGGATGGGGAAAATTGCCATCTGTATGCCAGGCTCGAGTTGGTCAATCAGCCAATATTAAAATTCAACATTAACGTATATGTTTATGTATGTTGAATTTCATATCATGATTTGATCCAATCTGAAAATCTGATCCTATTTTGTTAGATTTGGATATCCCCCCCCCCACCTTCAGATTTTTGGATTGGACAATAGGATCCATTTGAAAATCGGATCAGATTTGGATCACCCCTCATATATAAATATGTTTATATTGAATTTTTGTATATACTTTTGTTTTTCTATATATAAATTGCTATATTTTCTTTTCCTTTTAATGATTTATTATTATTTTTTTAAATTAAATCGGATCATATCAAAATCTGATATACCCTTATTCGAATCCACTCCGATCCATTTGCATCCCTAAGCTTGAGGACCAAAAATTCAAGCCCAACACATGTAAAATTATGGGTTGGCTCAAGTTCAAGTTGAGTTTGCTCAAGTTGCACCCGTAATTTTTATGGAGTAATTAAAATATGATTTTTTTTTTCAACTCTTTTTAAAATTGTTAAAAATAATTGAAATATATTCTTAATCTGCATCTTTGTTTTGAGAAGTAAAAGTAGGTCCGTTTTATTAAAAAAATACAATGGGTAATTTACAAAGACTCCCCTCTACTATGGGGTTAGTGACAGTTGCCCCTTGATCATTCATTTGCGACAAAGACCCCTTAGAACTTTCACTTTGTAACAAATACCCTTAGCCATTAAAAGACAGTTGACAAAAGTAGTTGCACCCGTAATTTTTATGGAGTAATTAGAATATGATTTTTTTTTATTTTCATTTCTTTTTAAAATTGTTAAAAATAATTGAAATATATTCTTAATCTGTATCTTTGTTTTGAGAAGTAAAAGTAGGTCCGTTTTATTAAAAAATACACTGGGTAATTTACAAAGACTCCCCTCTACTATGGGGTTAGTGACAATTGCCCCTCGATCATTCATTTGCGACAAAGACCCCTTAGAACTTTCACTTTGTAACAAATACCCTTAGCCATTAAAAGACAGTTGACAAAAGTGACCTGCATTCTGTGGTTAGCAGATCCACGCTTTTTGGGGGAGGAGAGCCTGGATCTGTTGACACAAAACCGCTTGTACACAAAATCTAAAGCCACACATCTAGAACATCTCTTTACTACTTATGGGAAGATGTTCCCAATGTGGGCTGTGGTGTTATACGCACAAAATCAGGTCTTTGGACCCAGCCTTAGACTATAGCCCTTAGCATAGGTGCAAACCCAGTCAGAGCTTGGCCCATGATCACCCTTACTCAAGGTCAATGTATCAACGTTTCAACTTCAACCATCTATATCAACCGTCAACTCATGACATCATCACGACACTCTAAAACTAAAATACACAAATATTACAAAGCCAATGACCCACTGAAGCGGTCAAATGAATCAATGGTTCAATCATCAAAATTGATGGGTCATTAGATTGGTCATAAGGCTGTATTTGGATGCGGTGTAAATCAAGAACCGATGTAAAATTTACATCGGTTCGCTTTTGTACATATTTGGTAAAGGAGTGTAATTATTATCGACATAAAACTACACTCTGGTTCAATTTTGTGTGCGTTTGGATAGTGTAGTTTTACGTCAATGATAGATGTAAAACCTCATCACCTTTAAAGTTTTACATCGATAATCAATGTAAAAACTAAATCGATTTTATCAATGTAAAACTTAAACATCTTTTTACATCGATTTCAAAATACAATGGTCATATATACTTACGGTTCAGTGTAAAACGTCATCAGTATATTTGATGACATTTTACGCCTCTTCCAAACGCAGCCTAAGTTTTTCATCAATAAATAGATTAGAAGGTGAACCAAAGCGGAATCATGAGCTGATGGCAAATTAATCTGATCCACCTGGGCCAACTATTGGGATCCATCTAACTGAATCATCATCGAAACCCTATCCCAACTATATGGGGTCGGCCACTCGGATACTGTGGATCTGATTTTTAATACATGGGACAGTCAGATAGAGTGCAGTGGATTTTGGGTGAGGTTTGGGGAGAGGCTATCCGGTTGTGATAAATATAAATAAAAATAAATAAAAAAACAAATCACTGATGCTCAGTTTGATGAGATTTGTGCTATTAAATTTGGTCCACGATTGCAAATCACCCCTCAGATTTTAGATTTCTCGATCAATCTAACGCCTCGTTGGTCGTAAATCGTAAGTTTATTCTGAGATTGCTGATAGCAAAATTTCCTTCGTTAATGGTAAAGTGCTTTTGGTTAAAAGTTCTATCAGAAGTTTCGAGAATAATTTAAAATAACCTTAGAAATAGACCATAAATAATTACATTTAACAAAGCCAGGATGGTGGAAAAAGATTCGTCTAAGGATGTTGTAGACATATGCCAAATGCACCCATTGAAAATAAAACTAAATAAATCAAATTCAACTTGAGAAAAAGTGAAATATTATAATCACGTGACTAGCAAACCAGGCATCTGAAAGATCAAGAATTGTGTACGATAAGCTTGAACCTGAACCAAGTTAGCCACCAAATCAAGATAATGTGAGCTTAGGTAGATATTAAAAAATAAATAAAGCCAAGTTCAAAGTAAATGAAATTGGGAATAAGTACCATTTCAATAGCAATCTCAAGATTCAAACCCCTCGCATTTTCTTTGCTTCTCTTTCTTTTTCTTCTACTGGTATATGTTCGTTCTCCATGTGAAAAAAGCTGGTCCAAACCAAGCACGGACCAGGTTTTCTAATTTGACCATCCAGGCTCGTAAAGGAAGCTTGTAGCTTTTAGGTTCATAATTCTACAAACGAACAACGGAATTGAATCAAAATTCAGATTATTTTTCTACAAAACAAGACGTGTTTGTTCCTGATTGGGTTTCGTGGCTCATTATACACGCGCCTTGTTTGCAGCTGATCTCAGTGGCACATCGCGTGGTGACCGAGGGATTGTCTTGGGCAAGGAACCATGAATCCATTACCTACCTACCACGTTAATAGACCTTAGTAGGGGAGAATGGGATAAAGGCCCACCTCAGCCCATACTCTCCAAGCCCAACTCGGGCCAGGTTGCAGGTTGCCACGGATTTGCAGTTTTGTACAAATGAGCAGGGTGCACGCCAGGTCCACTGGCCATGCCACACGCCAGAGAGATTGCAGTTTTGCAGGATTGGTTCGACATCTCTTTCAGAGTGACATGAATTTTGTAATTTGTTTCGCCATTCTGTTCGGTTTAGTGTCAGAAAGAACGATTTTTTCTTTTGGGGGGTGTATATGTTGGTTCGGCAGTACATTCTTACATCAATGAATCTCCTCGTCTTGTATGATGTATTTTCCGAAAAAAAAATGAGAGAAAGAAAGAAAGAAAGAAAAGCTCACTGTTAGGCTTTACGCAGCCAATCTGGCTTTCAAGTCTAGGTTGATATTTTCAACCGGTACCGGACCTAAGGCTCAGTTTGGAAGGAGTACAAATACAAATATGTAGAGTGTAAACCCTTGTATCTTGTATTATTTTGTATGTATTTATACTCTTTCCAAACTGAGCCTAAAGACCAATTCAAGCAGTCTGATACGGACTAACCTAGATTGCACATTTGCACCATCTATTTATTTTATTAGTTTATTTATCTATGGACCATCTGCAAATCACATAGCTGTAACCATCTGAACATTGAATTTTAGGACTCAATTACTGATTCACTGAAATTATTTTGATTTTCAATCGCATCGAATTTCTTGAGAATGATATTGAGTTTTAATTACTATTATAATCGTTCAACTAAACAAAGAAAAAAAATCTGATCATCACAAGTACAGCCAACAATAAATAGCAACATAAAGAGAGCCCAAAGCAGAGGATCAAAGAAAGAGAGCTTACCATTAATTAAATCGAATGATGACCCGAACAATTACAAGAAAAAGTACCCTATCTGTTGGATACATTGAGGACCAAAGGCAAATTACAGAGCATTATAACCAACCTACACATATATAACAATTGAGACTAAATATGCAGTAACACCGATAAATTGCAAAATATAAATATGGTATAAGAGAAAATATAAGTATGAAGGAAAAGAGAAAAGGGAATCAGCTCCATTTCTGACCTCGATTATTTTATGAATCCAGATAAAGTTCATACTCATTGTCTTCCACGTGACGAAATTTGATAGTCACCCCAATCAGAAATGGGGGGGAAGGGAAATGGTGCAGACTCCAGCTCAAATTCAACCAATCCATCAGACATGCCTTTGTCTCTTCTCCACAGGTGCAGACTCCAGCTCTATTCCCATTTCCAGCTCTCTCACTATCCATGCATCATCATCTTTATCATCATACACAGCAACTGCAACCTTATTTGAAGCTCTATAAGACTTCCTCTTCTTCATTGCCTCTCTAATCCGATCCTTGTCAAGATCACTAAGGCCCCCACGAACTGAAACAATCTTACAACTTGAAATCTTATTGGATACTGTAGTTTTTGCCTGAACCTCACCCTCATCAGACATATTTCCATCCTCAACAACACTGTTCATGCTTCCACAATCACTTGTCCTACATTGTAATGGGTCTCCTTTCTCAGCAAGAAATGAGTTTTTCTTGCAGCCAACATTTGAATCTGCATCCTTTACAAACCTGTCATCTCCATCAGAACCATGGCTCAAAGCAGAACCTGACCCACTTAGACCACATGATTGTGGACTCTGGACTGCTTTTTCAACTACAACTGTAGCTTGGACTGCCTTCTCACAAAAAAAACGCATTACTGGTCTCTTGTTCTGCTCAAGCAGCACAAGCATCTGTTGAATAACCTCTGAGAGAACAAGAAAATCCATTAGGAAAATCAAATTACCAAATACTGCACACATCTAAATATGAGTATGGAAAATATTCACTTAACAATTTGGTACCAATTAAAAAGAATAAACTGAGAAGTCCAATAGATACATGTAAAAATGTATTAAATGTATACATATACACACATAAGTAATTTCTAATATAACAGAAATATATATTTAAAATGAAACATCCTATATCTTTTACCCTGTATTTTTGATAATCCCCCATCATATGTTTTGCCCAGAATAATTTGCATATTAAATGTTTGACTGGATTTTCAGTTGATGGACTGATCTGGGTATGTTAGTGTTAACAAGAACAGATTCAAGCCAAAATCAATTGGCAAAAATAGAGAAAACAAGAAGAAAATGCAAGACATAGCGACTCAAGAATGCACACAAAGATTTTTGTAGTTTTGCTTAGCCTACATCCATCAGCGAAGGAGGATCAGAAATTCACTTATAGAAAACAGCAATGGAGGATCAGAAATCCACATATGAATTGTTATATTTAAGAGCTTTCAGCTTTAATGATTTTTTATTACAAAAAGAAATTCATTCAAATAAAAAGAAGAATATACAGAACCTGGTTATAAGAAATCACCAGCAAAAGAGAACTTCAAAAAAGAAAAAGACCTACTATAAAATGATCACATTAAACAATTCTATACAATAACATATTCCAACCCAGTTTTTCACATCCATCCAAACATATCTACCACCCCAAGGACAAATTAAAAGCCATATCAAAACCCCCTCAGAACACTATCATTATCTCCTCTTACAAACTCTCTCCACATAATAAATCTTCAAAGCCATCCAATCTTGACACTATAGCAAATCACATCCATGCCTGAGCCTTGATACATGACACCAAATACAAACAACCCAACCTTTCTAGAAAACTATTCACTCCCTATAAAGATAAATTCCTAATTGATGTTTTGAACTTCTTTATCAATCACTCTTCTAATATTTGTCCTTAATCATTCTGAATAGATTTGGTCCATCAATATTTGTCCTTTATCTAATATTTGTCCTTAATCATTCTGAATAGATTTGGTCCTTAATCATTCCTAATTGATGTTTTGAACTTCTTTATCAACCTTTCGGGACTTGTCCTGTACTAAATTTTAATTTGACCAGGCAAGTATTTGGTCTAGAGATCCTTATATCTCAGCGCATTTCAAGGGCAACAGATGTACATCAATAGCATTGATTAACCATCATTATGATTTATCCTGAGCTAATTTATAAATAACAAGTTTGGTTATTTTAATCAAAAACTGATCAGAGATTTATTACTAAACAATCAAATAGAGCTACTCCCTTTGTTGCTCACCCCAAAATTATATTTAGTCCAAACCCTAAAATAACGTTTATCCTGGAGTGGTGTGACCACAAATACAAATCCTGCCTGCTTACACCTTCTATAGCAAGGGAATTTGCTAGGAAGTTTACGGACATTAGGACCCAAGAGAACAAGCACAAGTTGAAACTATTTTCACATTCACAACCAAATAGAATGTATCTAGGTAATTTAGAATGTTAAAAAAAGGGACTGCGAGGGAAAGAAAAACCTTCTAACTGTTTAGGTGAAACATCAAACTCCAGCCACCAAACTTTCCCCTTCTCTGTAGGCAGCTTCACTTCATTAAACTTAGCAGCAAGGAACATGGAACCAGCTGCAATATATTGGGCTTTGTACTGCAAACACAGTGTGGTCCAAAGCCTACATGTCCCAACCAAATGAGACTTTTGAGCTAAAAAAATGAGGAAAAAGACAAACTTAATTTACGGCTAAGCAAATAAAGAAAAGAACAAGAAAATCGATGGGCAAGGAAAAGAGGAGTCTTACCAGTCATTCACAAAATTCCATGCCACTTTTGCAAGATCATTGTGAACTATCTTCAATCTCTTTAGAGCTGAAACAAGTGGCTTGTAGGGAAGCGGGATATTGAGATCATATGCAATAGTAGCTAGTAAAAGTCTCTCTCCAATTAAGATCAGTTCTTTCTGCTTCTCGTAAACATCCTACATGAAAAGGGTAAGCAGTAAGCCAATTTCAAAACATCTAGCAATAAAGAAAATATTTGCATGTCATACTTTTTCTTTAATTCTGTGTGCAGCAGCAGGATCCCTTCTATACATTGTCTCATAAGCCACAATGACAACATCCTTTAGCAAACGTGGTGTTTCTTCCACTTTGCATGCAAGAAACATGCTCACTGTTGCAATTGTCTGCAAAAAGCATTCTGTTAACTCAGAAAGTATGGAATCCAGGCCATCCAATCCTGAGATCAAAATAAATAAACCACCAGCCTATGAATATGCTAAATATATGCCATCTTAGCTATTTCATTGTAGCAATGGTCAAAATAGTACATTAAGATCTTTCTCTGGATCTCCTAGCCTAATTTAAATTCTTACATTATCTCAAGAGTGAAGGAATAATATCAGTAAAGTGTATATTGCAAGTAAATGTTTACATTACATTGCTAGTACAACAGAGTTGCTACTCAATTCATTTTTTTCCACTCACTAAATTCTGCAGCAGTTCATCATTCAAGTGCTGGTTTGTGTATATTCGTTCTTCCAATTGCCACAGAAAATTGAACTAAAGAAGGGTAGAGAAGTATTCTCAATTCTAAAACCCTCTTAATCTGCAAAAGTTTTAGAAAGATATGCCATTCCTAGGCCAGACAAAAGTGAAGACCAAGAAGTTCTAACTAATTTAAAAGATCCCATCCTGAATTTGCATGGCACTACAACAGTACTGACATAATATTAGCTATGTGCTGCACGGGGCACTTTTGTCTTTTTTTCTTCTTTTTATTTTGTATGGTCACCATAATCTATAATACAAAGGCCTGGCGCTGCCAGCCTTCTCTTTTGGCTCTCTCAACTCATTCTTCTCTTCTCTCTTTTCTCTTCATGCTACTTGACTGAAATCATGGTATCAGAGCAGGACAGTGCTCTGTAAATCTTTTTCTTCCTGGTTGAAGCCCTCCTATCTGTTCTTCGGACTGAGAATGGAGGAGACAAGTATGACCTGCACCTGGACTCAGAAGCCGGCAGATGATTGATTGAAACTTTCTAACTGCTAAGAGGTCGGTGATTACTTTCTCATTCATTTCATTTTTTTCTTGGACTGGAAACTTCAGAATCCTCTCGGACCGAACAGGGACAAAAGCTAAACCCTTTTTTCCTGGTTCTTGATGTTGCTGCCAAGAACAGATTAAGGTTTGCCTTGATAAAATAGTACAAGGGGAGTTTAACCCCTCTTTGTGGGTCTGAAGATCCAAAAATCTGTGTGCATGCAGAACCTTTGTAGGTTATGAGTCACCTGGTTCAGCTGGCAGGGTACAGCAGTAGTGTGTTGATGGTATTTGTTGCTCATATTAGCCTTTTAGAGGTCTGTTAGACTTGCGAATGTGTGTGACAGCAGGTGTTTTGTTTTGTTTTAGCAGTGTTTTAAACACACAAAGTGAGGGCTGTGTAATCCTGTGTGTGTGTTGACTGAAGGAAAGGATTGTTGCCTTCTTAGAAGTGTTATTCATGAATTCTGAAGATTCTGCAACCTCAGGAACCACCACTAATCAGGGTGGGATGAACAGTGGTCATAATTCCTTGAGTTTTCCAAGGACTATTACCCCCTTGGATGGCAGAAATTACTTGGCATGGTCTAAGGAGATGCGGCTGTATATTACAGCCAAGGGTAAGGCAGGATATATCAATAGAAAAGTAAAGGAACCTAGGGCTGGTACTGCTGAATATGATAAGTGAGACCAAGAGAATTGCATGATTATTCTTGACACCTATGTTACCATCTATCAAGCAGAACTTCATGTGGGCCGAGACAAAAAAAAAAAAAAAAGAAATATGGGAACAAGCAAAGGCAACATATTTAGAACAAAGACATTATGCAAGAATTTATCAATTACAACCAGAATCTTCAACATGTAAGCAAGGGGAAAGGAGCTTATCAGCTTACTATTCTGCCCTCACTTCAATCTGGAAAGAGTTAGATTACTACTAAAGCATTGAATGGGAGAGTGAGAAAGATGCCAAAGCCTATAAACACTTGGTCTCTCAGCAAAGAGTGTTTGTTTTTCTTTTGAGTCTTAATCCCATGTATGAACCCATTCAACCCATTCAGGAATAGTTTTTTTTTTTTTTGATAAATTCAGGTATAGATTTTGATCAGCAAGGATCTTCCCTCTATCCAAGAGGTAATATGCACTACTTCAATCTAAGGAAAGTATAAGTTTGCTATGAATCCTTTTGAGGGGAGACCAAACTTTAGCTGTAAGAGGTAACACAGATTCAACAAAAAAGGGGGAAAGCCAGAAAAAAGGTAGATGATAAAGATAAATTGTGGTGCACTCACTGTAAAAAATGCAGATATACCTGTAAGACTTGTTGGGAATTGAATGGGAAACCAAAGTAGACACAAAAACTAAGCAAGAAATCAACACAAGAACAGAGCAAGATGTCAAATCAAAAGAAATTCACCTTGGCAAACTTAGCATCTCATGAGCATCAAAGTGGTTTCTCTACCATGAGTTCTTCTCAGGATTGCCCCCCTAATTCTAATCTCAAGGAGGATATATTTTTTACTATTAATAATCTCAAAGAGGATATTATCAACTCCTTCCATGACCATTTGGAGCAATATGGTAAGGCTCTCAAACAAGCAGATTTTGGATCCACACCTTCAACCTCTTTTGCTTCCTTCTCAAGTAACTCAAGCTTTGCTTTCCACGTATTTACTGATAACACGGAATCCCCATGGATTATTGATTCTTGTGCTTCAAACCATACGATTGGTAAGTCAACCTTTTTCCAATCATACACTCTTCTCTCTAGCAAAAATAAAATGAGGTTAGCTGATGGATCCTTCTCCTCCATTACTGGTCGATGATCTATATCTTTGCCTTTTGACCTTTTATTATCCAATATTTTGCATGTTCCAAAGTTGCCCATTAATTTATTGTCCATTAGAAGTGTTACACATGCCTTGGATTGTTCAGCAACCTTTCTTCCACATTCTTGTGTTTTTCAGGATTTGGCCTCTAGGAGGATGATTGGTAGAGGGAACATGGTTGATGGATTCTATGTGCTAAAGAATAAGGTTGGTCTTGCGGCCTCAGAGTCTTTGAGTTGGTCAAGTAAGAGGCAAGTTATTTTGTGACACCATCGTTTGGACTATACGTCTTTTGAGTCCTTTAAGTACTTGTTTCCAAATTTGTTTAAGTCTATGCTAGTGATTTTCAGTGTCAAGTGTGTCAACCAAGTAAGCATTGTATAATTTCATTTCCTTTACATAATAAAATATCAGATTTTTCTTTTTACATTGTGTATTCTAATGTTTGGAGACCTGTTAATATTCCAGCTAAGAATGGCTACAAATATTTCATCTCCTTTATTGATGACTTTTCTCAATACACTTGGGTTTATCCTATACACTCACGAGAAGAAGTCCTTAAACTTGTGAGATTTTCAACGTATGGTTTACACCCAATTTTAGACAAAGATTCAAGTTTTTCAATCAAACAATGCCAAGGAGTTTCACGGTGACCTCATAGATTTCTTTGCATCCTATGGCTCTCTTCACCGAAGCTCTTTTGGTAGAACCCTTTAACAGAATGGGATTGCAAAGAGGAAAAATCGCCACCTTCTAGAGGTTGCTCGGGGGTTGTTGTTATAGATGCATGTTCCAAAAAGATTCTGGGTGGATGTTGTTATGACTACTGCCTATGTTAACAACATGGCACCATCTCGGTTACTAGAATATAAGTCTCCTCATCAACTCCTCTTTCCTAAGGCCCCAATCTCCTACTCATGGTAAACTTGATCCCAAGGCTACTGTGTGTGTTCTCATTGGTTACCCTCTTTCTCAAAAAGGCTATCGTTGCTTTGACCCCATTTCAAAAAAAAAAAATATTTTGTCTCTATGGATGTCTCTTTCTTTGAAGATGTTCCCTACTTTCCTGTTTCCCTTCAGGGGGAGAGTCCAGATGAAGAGAAACAGAAACAAACACAAGTTTTATTGCCTTTTCCTAATCCTCCTCCATTTCGTGTCTTCTGAAGACAACGTTACAAAACCAAGGCCAGTAGAGTTCAATAACCACATAGCAGCTAGAAGCTATGCAACCAATGCCATTAGACTCTAAGGGGTTGGACCCCTCACCACACCCAGGTACCATTATTCTAGTTGATATCCCTGAACCTATTGATATTGACACTCTAAGCTCATAGTTGTCAAGTTTTGAATGCACATATGTATTATATCATTTTATTGGTTGGTTCTATTTTATTAGAATACACCCTGTTGTATGTTACCATTTTTTATTAAAGTAATTCTCTTTTATATTAAAGCTACAGAAGTTTCTTTGGGTTTGAGTTTTGAACCAAGAGCTAAGAAGAGAAACCAAGGACAGAGAAGTTTTCATTGTTTAGTCCAAGTCGTCCAAGACCTCGAGGTAAGTTTCTTCTTCTTTAAGAAATTTTTGGGATGAAACAAGGGCTTTGCCTCCTTCTTTCTAAAATCACATTGGCACTCCTTTATTTTACTTTCCTACTTAAAAAAAAAAAAAATTGGGAACGAAATAGGGGCTCTGCCCCTTCTACTTCTTCTTAAATAGGGGTTGTGCCCCAACTTTCTAAAACTTTCTTGTATTTTTTGCATTATTTTTTAATAATGCATTTTTTTAACGAAATAGGGGCTCTGTCCCTTTATTCTTCTCTCCGTTTTTGTGGCATTCTCCATTTTTTTAGCCTGAAACAAGGTCTCCACCCCCTTCAACAAAATCCAAGTCGTCCTCTTGGACAACTTATTTTGGGAATGAAACTAGCTTATTTTTCTCTCTTTTTGTAGTTGCACTCCCCCATTTTTGTTGGCCTGAAACAAGTATGATGTATATATGATGGCATTTTAAGAGGGGTAGGGATATTTATTTTATACTTTCAAATGACACCACCTAGGTGCCTAGGCGACTAAGTGCCCTATGCCTAAGCGCCTTGACAACCATGTTCAAGTTGTGATATGGACCTCCCTATTGCAAAAAGGAAGGGTGTAAGATCATGCACCACATGCCACCCCATGGATCATTTCATGTCCTATAAGAATATCGCATCTTCATTCCGTGCTTTTCTATCTGTCATTGATAGTGTTCCTCTCCCTAAGAGTGTTGCAGAGGCTTTATTAGTTCTTGAGTGGACAAATGCAATGAAGGAAGAAACCAATGCCCTACACAAAAATGGCACATGGGAATTGGAAGATCTTACTAAGGGAAAGGAGCCTATAGGGTGCAAATGGGTGTTCTTTGTGAAACATAAGGCAAATGGCACAATGGAGAGATACAAGGCTCAGTTGGTAGCAAAAGGTTTTGCACAGCTATATGGGGTTGATTATGCTAAGACTTTTCCAATGGAAAAAATGAATTCTATTCGGGTTCTTTTCTCTTTAGCAACAAAGCTTGATTGGGAACTTCATCAACTAGACATAAAAAAATGCCTTCTTGAATAGTGGTTTGGAGGAGGAAGTATACATGATTCAACCTCCTATTTTTGTGCTAAGGGAAATGAACAAAAAGTCTGCAAATTGAAGAAAACTTTATATGGCCTAAAATAGTCTCCAAGGGCTTGGTTTAGCATATTCCACCAGGTGGTGCAACAAATCGGTTTTAAGCAATGTCAAACTGATCACAAACCCTTTGTAAAGAAAGAACAAGGAAAACGGTAGCCTTGATTGTCTATGTGGATGACATTGTTATCACTAGTGATTGGGTCTTAAATTTACAAAGGTTAAAGAAGTTTTGGCTACATAATTTGAAGTGAATGATATATTGCCATTATGTTACTTCCTTGGGATTGAAGTTGCCCGCTCTCAACAAGGTATCTTCATTTCCTAAAGGAAGTACACCTTGGATCTTTTGAAAGATACAGGAAAGCTAGGAGCTAAACTAGCTAACACCCCTATTGATGTAAATCACAAACTTGAGGACTGTAATGATGAGTCCTTGAAAGATCCAAAGTAGTACCAAAGACTTGTGGGCAGGCTTCTCTATTTATCTATGACTAGGCCCAACATTGCATATGCCATGGAAGCCGTCAATCAATTCATGCATGCACCCAAGGTAGCACACCTAAAGGTAACATACAGGGTTCTCAAATGCCTAAAGAAATTCACAGGGACAAGCCTCCTCTTCAAGAAGCATGGACATATGAGAGTTGAGGTTTACATAGATGTTGATTGGGCCAGCTCAATAGATGACAGGAAATCCACTAGTGGCTACTGTACCTTTGTAGGAGGAAATCTTGTTACTTGGAGAAGTAAGAAACAAAGTGTGGTGGCCAGATCGAATGCAGAAGCAAAATACAGGACCATGTCACATGGAGTTGCTGAGCTACTATGGATCAAGAACCTGTTGGGTGAATTAGGTTTTTACTTTGATGATCCTATGTCACTATTGTGACAATAAAGCTGCTAGCAACATTGCAGCCAATCCAGTTCTCCATGATAGAACCAAGCACATTGAGGTAAACAAACATTTCATCAAGGAGAAACTTGAGAAGGGAGAAGTGTATACTCCATATATTAGCTCTGAAGAACAACTTGCAAATGCTTTTACTAAGGGATTAAACTCCTTGCGGCATTATGATCTTTGTGACAAATTGGGGATGATTAACATCTATGCCCCAACTTGAGGGGGAGTGATGTAATATTAGCTATGTACCACAAGGGGCACTTTTGTCTTTTTTCTTCTTTTTATTTTGTACGATTTCCCTAATCTATAAATACAAGGTCTGGTGCCACCACCCTTCTCTTTTGGCTCTCTCAACTCTTTCTTCTCTTCTTTTCTTCTTCTCTTCTTCTCTTCTCCCTCTTCTCTCTTCTATCTTCATGCCACTCAAGTGAAATCAAGTACAATTAACTTCTCGTACGGATAAAAAAAACATGGGGGCCTGAATACAACAGCCAGCAAATATAGCAAACACATGATCCATTGGTGCACTATTTAATTGACAAGATATCCAATCTACATGCAGCTATATGACAAGATATCCATTGGTGCACATTCTACATGCAGCTATTTAACCATTGGTACACAATTTGATAGGGTTGATCCAACCAGGCTAGACTACACCCTGACCCAAACCCACCCACCCTGGACAAGAAAAAATATAGAGAATTGTTCACACCATAACCCAAAACGAACAAGGGTTGACATTTCACAAGCTGAACTTGACTCTAACCTGATTACATGCATACCAAACCCTCCCAATAGAGGTGGGCGGCATAGGGTTACCCAATTAACCACCTCTTTGGCATTCCTAAACTTTGGTCATGAGGACTTCAAAAATTGAACCTGATGAAATGCATTTGAGTTAAACGAGAAAGACCACAGCCCCCATTTTCAAGATGTAGTTTTGAGTTTGACACTAGCAGTACATCCATAGCTAAATTATATGGTTCATCAGAACTATTTCATAACGCAATGAACAAACCTGCCATTCATTTTTTGCATGAGACTGACGTAGATAAAATCGATGGCATAACATCATAGCTGCTGCAATAGTTAACTGGGGCCTGCAAATATAAAGATTGATTAGTAGTTCCTTCTTTGAATTATACATAATGAATATTAGCTAAGAAATAAAAAATAAAGGGAAGGTTTATTTGAAAGAGCAAATTACATAAGAAACACAGTCAGATAGCAGTAGAGAGTACCCTAGACATTATCTATTTTTGGATATTTTATATAAATTATACCCAAGTCTTCAAAGCAGCCTGAATTGAAGAAGCCAATTCAAAACAGGCAAAATAATGTGGCACTGTATGAGGGACAATGTGTTATTGGCATTTGGGGTGAAAGAAATGATAGAACCTTTCATAATAAATCACGGCAGGTGCAAACATAATATGCCAAAATAAAAGTAAGGGTGGCTCACTGGATGATGATTAGGGAGGAAACCAAAGCACTACAAATGGATTCTTTTCAACGAGGGTGGGCCAGAGTAGCTGGATATGCCCAAAGAAGCAACCATTTAGTCCTGTACAAATCTTGTACTTGGTGTGTAGGATAGAGAGAAAAAGAGAGGGAAAAGAGAAGACTCCAGGCTGGAGAAAAAAGAACCTGGTGCTTGGAATGAAAAAATAATTCTCCCAATTGTCCAGGACTCCCAGTTTGCTATTTATATGCATAACTCAAAACAGAATGAAAGATTATACCTTTAACCCTGTTTAGTAATAAAACGGGATTTCCTAAACTAGCCTACTTAAGTGATAAACATAAAAAGACAATAGCATGATCTTTATCAATCATAAATAAGAAGTAATAATTAACAAGGCAGAAATATAACACAAATACTACTCTCTCAAGTCTCAACAAGTCCAAGACAGTTAGAGATTGTAGTGTATTAAGAAATGAAACAGGAGCCCATATTGATAAGCTATTCAGGTCCAATTGGATAGGGAAATTCTTTGAGAGCAGAAATGACTGCTTCCTTGCAAGGCCTTAGACTCGAAAATCCTACAATTACTCCAGTCTAATTATTGAAGGACAGAGCCATGTTGTAATTTCTTGACTCACAACAACAGTTTCTGATTCTTGGATCTTTAAACATCTGAATAGAGAGGCAAAGGCCTTGGCAACCAATATGAATTGCTCATTCAGTTGGACTCCTAGGTCAGACAACAGCATTGCTCTCTAGAAAGAACGGATATTGTAAGGATAAATTTGGTTTGGATGCCCCCAGGTAGGGGTGCAACTTGGGCAGGCTTGGGCTGGACTTTTGTCAAAATTTGGATGGGCCCAACCCGAAGGCCTGAGCCTGAGGCAGTGTAAAATGCTAATTCAGGCCAACCCAAGTTGCACCCCTACCCCCCAGGCCCAGGGATGGACTTGTAATGTAGGTGAATGAAATTACTCAAAAGAAGATATTGTCAGCCAAGGGCTGTCTTGTTTTGCTCATCATCCCCCTGCATGGGGTATGAAATTTTCAAAATTCATTCAAATCTCAAGCACTGTGGTTGGCAAGAGAGACCAAATTCAAAACAGGAAATTAAGATCTTGTACTTTTTTCACAACTTAAAAGGGAACTGTGAAGAAAACCTTCAAGCATATCAGAGAAACTCCTACTGGTACCATTCAACCAGGATACATACAGTATACAGATGGTCACAAAGGATTTGTTCAAATAAAACAAAACATAGGAAAGGGCTTACACTTTAAGCTTCTTCCCCAGATCCTGAATAAATGAACAGTATAATCTTCGTAGTTGTGCCTCTTTCTTAAAGTCAATTCCATCCTTCCTAGATGGGGAATTGTCTTCTATTTCTTTTCTGCTGAAGTACCATCTAGGCACACAAGATTCAGGCCCTTCAAATGTCTCCCCAGAAATCATATGAACTCTATCTCTTGCAATTCCACACTGGGAAGGATCCCCTGGCAGCTGTCCTGCCATGGTCACCTTCTGTTCTCAGTAGAAGATAGGAAAATGTGTATTTACAAAACCAAGCCTTCTTTTTAGGAAGCTGTTTGCTGGGGACCAGGGAACTTCCTACAGAAGAAAAACAGAAACATAACATATAAATGTTGTAACTTTCAGAGAGATATTTCAGTGAAATGCATGAGAGAGGCAACTTAAACAACAAATTATTTTTCAGAAGAAAGAGATAAGAATTAGCATAAAAAATAATATAAAGAATTGCAGTGTGTAAACGTACGTAGTAAATTGGTCTACCTTACCATGACACTCTCAGTATGTGAATGGTTTTTCTTTTTTTTGCCATGAATTTTTTCCAGTGTATTTTTGCATAATACAAACTACCAGGGAGATTTCCCTGGAATTACAGAACTTTCCTGCTCTAACAATAAGAAGAAGAACCATTGTCATCTCATGACGCCTCCTACATTACATGTATACTTCTAGAACAAAACTGAGTTTCAGAAGTTTGATTCTAACAGTAATATGCCAAACGCAACAGCAGCTCGAAAGTGTTCAGTAAAACACATATGATCCCTTATAATCCTCTCCATCAGAAAGAGGACTTATCCCATGCATAAAAAGGGCAGTTATTTACTTTTAGCATTGTTTACAATAGAAGAAGACCGTGCAGAGAAGTCAACTGATCGGGTTAAATCTATGCCAGAGTCAACGAAAACAGTTAATAGTAGCTTCGTTCTAATGGGGTTGCTCAGGTGACCATACAGACGGCACGTCCTGTAAGTAATAGTAAAAAGGTAGGCATTCGTAAAAAAATAATAATGATAGAAGGTAGGCTTCAGCTTTGACTGAAATCATCCCCAAAATCAACCAGATAGCTATAATGCTAACTCAGAGCACAAAAAATTCCAAGGACCTCAAAATATACACAAATAGATGGATCCCAATCAGCATTCAGACATAAAAATTAAGCAAAAAATAACTTAAACGGCTGTTCTAAGTGCTCTAATTTTCTTAAAATCGTACAAATAAATCAATCTAAAGTAGAATTACATGATCGAAAAACCAAATTTCAGCTGGTACAACTATACGAATCTTAAGAATATAACAAACATGAATTGTTAAACCGGAAATTGTGGAAAATATGAATGGTAAAGCAGAATTAAAGAACATAACAAGAATTCAAGTGTTAAACAAAACATTACCAAGGATTTAATGCTGAGAGGTATCGAGCTTCCTATTCTCGAATTTCCGGGGGTCTTCAAGTAGATTTTGTTGTAAAAAGGCGGGAAAGAAAACGATTCAGAGGACAAATACCTGGAATTATTCAGGATTGAGCGGTCAGTTGATAACCATCGGAAGCTTGTAAGATCAATTCCAAATAAATCCCAGAAAGGTACACCCAAGAACCCTAGATAACCCGTAGACTTTCTTTTTCCGGCTAGCAGGTCACCACGAAGACTTGAGCCTTCAAGTCACCCATAAAATAATAAAAAATCCACAACAATTCCTCGTGTTTGCTCGGAAACAACTGTTTCCTTTTTCTACCGAGTTGGGGGCCTTCGGCCTTGGGTCGAGTCCGGATTTCCTGCAAACGAAGGCTATTAGAAATAGCATCTAGCCGCACATTTGGAATTTCTTCCGCACATATATGTTAAAGTTAGTGAAAGATATTCCTAATGTGCGAATAGGCTACTGTGTGCAGAGTTTTTCTGAGATGCTGTCGCCCTTTGGGCCACGTTTAACGCGCATTTGCTTATTACAGTGTGACTCGTGCCATACACGGATTTGTATTATCCTTTTTCGGATGACGGATCAATGGTTAACCGTGCCGTGTAGGTGTTTGAAATTTATCAAAATTTATGGGAGGCTAGGGCTTTTGATTGATGAAAGCCCTTAGGTGTCGTGTCCATCACTCCTTCCAATATGACCCGTCAACCGCTAATCAGATTAGGCTTCTAGCAAAAAGATAAAGCAAAAAAACGGTTAATTAGCCTTAACTAACTGATAAGCCCGACCCATAACATAGCTAAAAGGGCAATGTAAATAGAACTCATATTTTGAACCTTAGACTTTTCTCACCGAGCCACCACTCATATCTCAGTATGAAGGTCTTCTTTTGTACCCTTAATTTCTTCTTATTGGATATCATTTGCTTACAAAAAAAAATTGATAATATCGCAACCGAGTATTCCAGATTTTTTTTCTCGTCCTTATATGGCAAATTTGCTATGTATTTGATTTGAGAATTTCGTATTTAAAAATTTTAAATAATGATGATAGTAATAATGTATCTAAATTTTTTTATAAAATTCATATATTTTTTGTTTTTTAATATTAATCGGATGTATATTGCAAAACCCGAATATGATGATGTAAGAATCTTATATCAAATTGCAAAGTTTTGGATATCATTGACAGTCAATCTACTTGGGTAGATTCTTATTTTTTTGTAATGTTTTATCCTCTTAGTGTTTTTTTTCTGTTTGTTTATCAAAAAAGTGTAACATTTAAAGAGAGGAAATTGAATGGGTGAAAATTGTAGTTCAAACTGCATTTTAAACATCGCAATTAAATAGGGATTAAATTCAAAAAATGGGTATTTTAATCAAATGAAAGTTTCACAATCTTATTCATGTTTTTAATAGTAGTGTAAATATGGAGTTATAGATGTGTTCAATTTTTTCTATAAGTTTTATATTTCTATGTGTGTAAAAATAATATTGTTATGTACACTTATTTTTATTTAATATGATAAATATGCGATATTATGCATGTGCCTAAATGGTTTTTTTGTAATGTATTTTTTCATTTTTTGTGTTTTTATATTTTATTAATTTTTATTAAAGATTGATATATTTGACCCAAAAGCTATTGATCTCCACTAAACAAGAAAATAGTTTCATTTTTTGTCAGTTTTAGATTATGTATTTTATTTTCATCATTAATAAAAATAATTCTTGTTTGCTACATTTGTTTTTTTTAACTTGATTAATAAAATATCATAAATGCGTTTATATTTTTCTACATTTTTGTAATTTTCTATATTATTTAAAAAATTTATCATCTAATTATGACTTCATGAGTTGACCAATTTGATTTGGATGGTTGAATTGCTTAGTCATCACTTGGGTAGAGAATGGTTTTGTTTTTTTATTAAGTTTTAACATATATTGGTTTATATTGTTAAAAGTATTTGGCATAGGTATAATTAGTAGCATTTATTAGTGAAAAAAAAAATAACTTAAATATAGAATTTAACAAGAAAGAATGAGAGTTAATACTTTAAATATAAGAGTTGAGAGGGGTTAAATGATGTGAAAAACATTAATTGAAATTACATTTTTCAACTTTCATAATTAGAGATAGACTAAATAACAATTGTAGACATTTTCATCAAGAAAAGTTTCACACCCTCATTCGTATTTTTTAAATAAGTATAGATTTAGTGTCATTTGGCAAGTCTTTTTTTGAAAGATCTGACAGCTAAATAAACGTCGTAGGTTTTTACATAAAAATCTTGGTAGCTCATAGACCATTTAGTTGGAGGCGCATCTTTCCACACAAAAAAGGGACAAAAAAAGTGAGAAGCTTCATTTTTAGCTTCCTGAAATAAGCTCGAATTGAATGTCTCACATCTTTTTGTGGTGGAGTCTTTTGGCGGCTAGGTCTTCCCTCAACCAAATGGGAAAATACAAGAATGCGAATTGCCAGGCTTCTAAACAGCCGACAATCCACGTGGAAAGACATGTCGAACATGGCCTTAATCTTTTTCCAATTAAGTCTCATGTTTTTGGGGGTAAATTGGTCAACCAGATAATTGATTAATTTACCAGCATTCTTGTGTTGCTATTATGGGTTTTATAGAAAACAATTTTTTTGGAGAATATTAGTTACCACCTCCCCTGGAGAGTGAGTAATTTGCTTACCCATTTGTCGAAAACATAATTCTCCCATATTGTAAGTTTTTTTAAAGACCCCAAAGTTTACTACTTCAAGTGGAGGGACGACCACCTACAAATTTTATTAATCATTATCAAAAGAAAAATTAAATATAATAGGAGAGGATATAGCATGCCTTACCCCAAACTTAGAACAAAAAGTTCTCACCTTAACAAGCTGAGAATAGTGGAAAATAGCTCTAGGTCAAAAGGATTTTCATTAATGGAAAACAGTCCTAACTAGATTTGGACATTCATGCAAAGTCTCGTAATACCTCTCTATCGTGTTCCATACATTCCACGGAGGATTGAGATACCTTGAAGTCCATCTATCACGACCCTCGAGTCCCCTTCGATGATGCTTCTTCTCCAACAAGATAGGCTTCGTGGGCTGTTAGTGCTTCAGCTTCATTTATGAAACAACAACCAACGCTCTTGCCTCTTTAATGTGATAAATAGTTAGTCTTGGATCAATTCCTAACATTTTGCTCATGGATAAGCTCAACAACTTCTTGGGCTTAATTCCCTTTAACACAGCCCTATGGAATACCCTCTTCGCAATAATAGGTTGTTTTGGCTCCTTTACCAGTTTGGCTGTATTAGGAAATGATGCAAATAAGTGTGAATGTAAATATGTAGAGTGTAAAATGGTTCATATAAATTATAAAGTTGGGTTAGTTTTGTATTAATAATTTTACCTTCTTACCAAACGGATTTTTAGTTATAATGGATGCAAACATGAATTCCAATAAAGCAAATGCCTTTTTATCAAAAACCCACTTGAATGCAAATTTACTTCTTTTTTATTGATGTACTTTTACATCTTTATTATCAATGTAAATATGCATTGGAAAATGTGTTTTCATTCATTTGTCAATGCATAAATGCAATGTTGCCAAACATAGTCAAAAGTGAACAAGAGTGCAAATTTACCCAGAACCAAGATTTACACTCCGTTTGCATCATTTCCAAATGCAGCCTTAGTTCTTCATGGGTCCTTGTCCTTTGTTACCTAATGCCTTTAAACACGGATTATGTGCATCTGTTGAAAAGGAAAATCTTATTACCTTGAGACAGAAGACATGATCAATAGTTACCATATCCCATGGGCAGCATAGAGAAAGAACTAAAAATGGACATAGGGTTTCAATGGGTGGGTTTTGGGTTGCATTTCGTCCAAATCAAAATCAATTTGGATGGATTGAACAGACCACTAAGACATATTGAATTGGACCAGTCCAGACTTGATGGTTCAAAGTATTTACTGGATTAGATTGGACTTAGTCCATCTATAATGAATTTATATTGGATTGGGCTGGATTGAGTCAATATCTAGTCCATTAAGAAAAGATAAGAATACAGATGTTATTGGACTAGGTTTGAGTTGGAACCGATACAGATTAAAACAAATTTGAACAGATTGGATGGTCCAAATATTGAATTGCATTGGATTAGACCAGGTCTATTTGTAATCGACTCACATTAGACAGGATCGAATTTGACCAAATCCAGTCCAATTGACACCCTTGAGACATCCGTTGTTCGTAGCAAATCATGTGGATGCCGCAAATCAATTCTTTGCAAGTGGGCCCAATTAATTTCAGCTCAAAGCTAGAATACCAATAGCAAGCATTTTTTAGAAAATGGAGAAGATTCTGGCCTTTAAACATATGAGTTATGATTGGGATCCTTCAATGACTGTTGGGGAATGGGGTCACTGTAACTTTGGAGGAGAAGATCTGAGGCGTGTCTGAAGACACTATCTTTAGAATGTTATTTGCCCCCACTCAATTTCACTGAGTTTGCTGTTGGGTTACAGGAAAATCCGTTCCCAGGATACAATAGAGCCTTGGGCGAGAATCTGCAACCAACAAAGTTGAAGAATCTCCAAAGAAACCTTTTGTGAGACTGTAGCAGATCGGACTGAGAGAGAGAGAGAGAGAGAGAAAGTGGATTTCGAAAATGTGTGTTTTGGAAGTTTGATTCATGCTCCTTAAATAGTTTATGAAGAGGTATGAAGAAAAAGTAGGTACTGGTTCAGAGAATGCACCTTGAACAGTTGTTTAAAAAGTAGTTAACAGTTAATGATTGTTAACTTTGAATTGTGTCTCTTGATTACACCCGATCGAATCGTGACTGTTGATCTCATCAACGGTGATCAACGGTCAGCATCGCACCAAAACCAAAGCTACCCTTCGCGAGCCACAGGGGGTGTGCGCGAAGTGCGAACAAAGTGTGCCTCTAAAGCACCTCATTGCACTGCACACACATGTGCGCACGCGTTGCGCGGTATCAAACCTCCATACTCTCCTTTACTATTTCTAAGAAGTGTAAATCAACTCCTATTAAAATACTGAAAACAAAGCTTATAATTTTTCAATGTGGAACAAGTTCAAAACTAGGTTTTGTAAGAGAAAAAGCTAATTTTCCAAAGAAGTGTGCAGGTGCAATTTCTCATGTAATTGACCAATCAAACCCATTGGATTTAATCTCTTATGAGATTAAAATCCAACATAGACTACAGTAGGTTCACGAATATGAAGTCATAGCATGTTTTTCTACTGGGTCTGGCCTCAAA